AAAAAAAAAAAAACTCATATCACATGTATTAACTTCTGCAGAGGTTGCCCTTAGTACCGTTTATCAAACTTCATTTACCAGTGTTTAATTAACATTGTTTGAAGAAATTGCTTTGATGCTATCAACTTGTGATGCTAAAAATCTCTATTTTTTTCTTTCTTTTTTTCTTACTGTTGGTGGTTGACTTGTTTCGAGTAATACATGTATTAACTTCTGCAGAGGTTGCCCATAGAACCGTTAATGAAACTTCATTTACCAGTGTTTTATTAACATAGTTTGAAGAAATTGCTTTGATGCCATCAACTTGTGATGTTAAAAATCTCTTTCTATTTATTGTTTTCTTTCTTTTTTGTCTTACTGTTGTTAGTTGTCTTGTTTTGCAAAATGAATCTGTAAATGATTCTTATTTTCAAGTTTCAATTTGAACTTTTGTGATTTTTTTTTTCTAGCTTGCTAAGAAAGGAGAACAGTTTATAGACATTCCTTATGTTGTCAAAGGAATGGATGTATCTTTCAGTGGACTTTTAAGTTATATTGAGGCCACTGCCGAGGAAAAGCTCAAAAATAATGAGTGCACCCCTGCAGATTTGTGCTACTCCCTGCAGGTAATGTACCGTGATTTTTTATCTTCTTTTAGTCGTATTGGTAAAAATCTTACCAGCAGAAAAGTTTGTACTTGTAATAAAACATTTCACTTTAAAAAGGGTTTTTATGTCCTAAAGAGTTGGAATGGAAATTGTACTTGTACCTACAATTTGATAATTGAGGTTATTAAATGTTGCAGGAAACCGTTTTTGCGATGCTTGTGGAGATCACAGAACGGGCAATGGCACATTGTGACAAAAAGGATATTCTTATTGTTGGTGGTGTAGGCTGCAACGAGCGGTTGCAAGAAATGATGAGAGTAATGTGCTCGGAGCGTGGTGGAAGGTTGTTTGCCACTGATGATAGGTATTGCATTGACAATGGGGCCATGATTGCTTATACTGGTCTTCTTGCTTTTGCTCACGGCGCATCGACCCCACTAGAGAAATCGACATTTACCCAGCGGTTTCGGACAGATGAAGTCGAAGCAATATGGAGAGGAAAAAATGAGCCTGCAAACGTGAACGGGGTCATGGCTGGGAGCGCATAGATCTACGAGGTATGCGGGTCTTTCTTTTTATTTTTATTTATTTTAAACTTTTTGTTTATTTTCTAACCTCGCTGCAACCAAGCTTTCCATACTAGACCTGGCGAGGGTATTTGAATGATCGTTGAGAATGTTGTAATTTAAGCATGATGGTTTGGTCATATTTGTACGTGGGTATGGCCGCAACTGTATGGAGTTTCGCTAATGTTGGTGTAGATCTTATTTTCGGGGACAGAAAGTAGTTTGTATTAGGAAAGGAAAAATTCAGTCCCAAGAAATCTCGTATATGGTAATGCTTTAAATTTTTTATTTTTGAAATTCAGTAGTAACAAAGGAGTTTCGCTATCGTTGATTTTTAAAATTTAAATTTTTTACGAGAGAAAAACACTGTAACAAATTAAGAATTATAATTTTAAATCAGAGCAGAACTCTCGAAACAAAAGGAGCAATATGAAAATTGCGTC